AGTAAGAAGAACCAGGAAAACAATATGAATGATGACAAAAGCAATATAAAAGAAAAGATAGGGATAGGGACTGGACCTTTGATTTTCATAGATATAGGGAACTCTCAGGCGAAGGCTCTACTAACACAGGTAATAAGGCTTGGCACCTTCTATGTAACTTATAGTGAGTGTTAAGAGAGTTATCTAGGACAGCAGTTTTCAAAGCATGGTCCAGGGATGCCTGGGGAACCCTGATGCCCTTTCAGGCAATCCATGAGATAAAGATGATTTTTATAATAATACTAAGATATTTTAATTTCTAACATGGTAAATATTGGGCAGCTCGTCGGTACAGAGGATGGAGTGCTGGGCCTGGAGTCAGGAAGACTCATCTTCCTGACTTCAAATGTGGCTGCAGACACTTTCTAGATTGTGTGACCCTAGGCAAGTCACTTAACCTAGTTTGCCACAGTTTCTTCATCTGTAAAATGATCTGGAGAAGGAAATAGCAAACCATTCCAGTATCTCCGCCAAGAAAACCCCAATGGGGTCATGAAGAGTTGGACACGACCGAAACAACCAAAATACAACAGAACCTAAATAAAGGCTCTTTGGGGTGTTTTTAAGAGCGTAAAGGGGTTGTGAGACCAAAAAGTTTGTGAATTGCTGGTCTAGGGCACTGGGAGGTTAAGGTTCTTGCCCAGCGTCAACCAACCAGCAAGTGTGAGAGGCAAGACTTGAACCCAGGTCTTTCGGGCTGGCTCTCTAGCCACTACAACACACTGCTTCTCACAAATGGGAAGAACAAGAACAAAAATTCAAAAGTGAACACTATGTAAGCTTGGCCTAAAGAAGATATATGAGCACAAACATCCCTCCTCTCTTGGCAGATCTGGGGGACTCTGGCTATTCAACACTCCATATGCTGTTGGAACTGATTGTTGTATTAGCCAGTTTTGGAAAACTGCTTTTTTCCCCTCTTTCTTTTTTTAATTCTTTGTTATGGAGAATAGCTTTCTGGGTGGGGGAAGGGCAATGGATATATTGGAAAAGGAAGGTGATGTAATGCCAGAAGATAGCAATAAAAATTAAAAGAAAAATCCAAGAACCACAGACACTTCATCTTCAGGTCTAGGAAAGCTATCCTTTTAAACTAAGGGTATACTAAGTCAGAGAGTTACAATATTGTCGCATATGCCTAACAAAACAATGAATGAATGAGTGAATGAATGAAAAAACTATGGTATTAATGACCAACCACACAATTGTACAATGGGGAATACTCTGCAAATTAGTCTTGAAAACTCGATTTTTGAAGAACCTTCATGCAGATTGATGTGTCTCTTGGCATCAAGGCTTATTTAGACGTTAGTAGGGAAGGAGGCTGAAAATAATTATACTGTCAGATCAAATCTTCTGCGTGTCCTGGAGTTTTTCAAGCAACATTGTTTATATGAGACAGGTGATGAATCATAGATAGACTGGGAATGGAAAGAACAGTGCCTCTGGAGTCAGAGGATCTGGGTTCATATCCCACCTTTGACGCTTACTACTGAAATGAGCTTGGACAGATCACATAATTTCCCTGGGCCTCAGTCTGTAAGATAGCAAAGTTGAACTAAAAGGACTCTGAAGTCTCTTTCAGAAGAAACAGGATCCAGTGACCACTATGAATTGAGGTTGAATAGGGAACCAGACTGAGAATCTAGGGGCTTCTGCTGAACACATTTTGGCTTAAAAGCTTTCAGCAATCATACTTTGTTTTTCAATTGCAAACACTAGGGGGTTTAATAAAAAAAAGATTTGAAATGGAGAGCAGGTCCCTGGAGTCATGAGGAAGGGAGCAAGTTTATGATGGGGTCACTAATTAAAGCTGAATGGATGGGGGTGGGGTGTACCTGAGTACAACACATGGCAGGGTTTGATTTCAAGTTTACAGAGACACCAGGACTAGCTAGCAAAGCCCCCTCTGGAGGGCAGACTTGGGAGGCCATGATAAGGTTAGGAAAGAGAATGAGCCTTGGCTGGGGGTGGGTAGGCTGATAAGAAGAGCTGACCCAAAGAGGTGGAACCACTCAATTTATATCTCACTTCTCTACAACGAGAATGATGTTCAGAATGAGAAGGATAGAACTAAAATCATTAAGAGATAATTGAAACTCAGGATAAATGAGGACGGTGATGGGCAGTGAGGGAGGCTCAAGCCATCCTTAATGACTTCAAGTCACCTGACCCAGCCAGATGATATCCAACGCACTGAAAGTATACTCCAAGAACGTATCTGTCAGATGTTTTTGAGGAAGTCATGGAGTACAGGAGAGATAACATGGGACTGAAGACAAGCAAATGCTGTACCAATCTTCAAAAGGGAGACTAAAGTGGAATTTTTCAAACTATAAAAATCACTATTTAAAAAATTTGAGAATGAATTATTAACGGGCTAGATTGGGAGCACTTAGAAAGGAACGTGACAAGCACTATTAACCACCCTAGATTCCCCTCATTCTTTCCACATTTATTAAGTGCTTACTGTACCCATGATATACAAAACCAAAACAATTCCTGCCTTCAAGGAGCCTATATTCTATTCACAGAGGTGGTAAGTAAACAACATGTACAGTGAGAATGTAAATAGAAACCATACACGATGTACAAAGTAACACTGAGGGGAAGGTATTAAAAAATGGGAAAATCAGAAAAGGCCTCACATAATCACTAGAAGAAAAGTGCCACAAAAGTATACCTGAATTTTAATGAAGCATTTAATAAAACCCATCAAGATATCAAACAGTATTAAACAAGTGACAAGGAATCATTTAATGAGGTAGATTTAGAACTGGTTAAATGAAAGAATCAACTGAATAGTGATACAAGTCCCAAGGAAGGTTTCTAGTAGGATACTTCAGGACTCCATCTTTGGCCCTGTTCAAATAAATATTTTTATTAAGTCCTTGGATGAAGACAGGTGGTATGCTTATCAGATTTGCAGATTATACAAAACTGGAAATGGAAACTAAAGAATACTGCATTTTTTTGAGCCTCAGTTTCTCCCACTAGAGAAAGAATTATGTGTTTCTAAACATTCCTAAAGTAATTTGAAGTCCATGGGTAAAACAACTCACTTGACTAAATGCCTATGGATATTAATTTTAGAATTAGTGCATGATTCCAAAATGGTAACAAAACATTTTTGGCATAATTATTTTCTACACTGACTATATATCAAATCTTTGTTCATTCTATGTTTGTTGCCACATTTTAGTTGTTATTTTCCCTAAAGAAAGAATAAGACTATGTTATGTTTCCAATTCTTCCTCTTATGGATCTTTTCAGTTTTCCCCTGCTAAGACACCTGCTTGCTTGTAGTAATGACCCAAAGCATGTAATTTTCTTGTTTTAGCTGACAGATTAATTTTAGATAATTTTACATTACTAATTCAATTATTTCAGGATCTCAGAGTTGGAAGAGAAAGATATCAGAGGTTCTCTAGTCCACAGCATTCTAAAGAAGCAGCTCCCCTCCCCTCGGTGATAGTAATCTTTGATTTCTTGAGGCTACACATTCTGCTTTTGGAGAGGTCTAATTGTTAGGAAGCCTTCCCTAACATGAAGCCTAAATCTGCCTCTTGGCAGCCTGTACCCATCTCTCCTCTAGGGCCAAGCAGAACAAGTCTGACCCTTCCTTCTACATGCCAGCCCTTCAAAAACTTGAAATCCCAGTCATACTCTTCCAAAGGCAAAGTCAGTGTCTAGGAGAAGTAAAGACTTGGGGTACAAAGATAATGACTGAGGTTCCAAAGCAAAAGTGGCCCAGATTAATGGAGGAATTCTGTACTGTGAGAAGGCCAATGAGATTAGAGAGTTGGTTATTTTGCAATATGAACATGTGTTAAATGTATTATAGGAAGAAGACAGCTCCTCTGGCTAATGTCTTTCTGGAGCAGACTGGCCTCCATGACTCAAACCCAGGGAGTGATAAAATTATGCTGATTCTTACATGCCCACCATCTTCAGACCTTACCTTTAAATCCGTGGGGACTGATCAACCCTAGAGAGTCCCCAAATCCCAGACATGAAAACATTTCCCTGAATTTCCTATCATGTCCAGATACCAAGCCTTATAAATTCTTCCTTCACAATTTCTCTCATATGTACCTTTCCCTTCTATATCCACTACCACTGCCCTAGTTCTCCCCCATTACCTCATGCTTAAACAATTATAATAGCCTTCTAGATGGTCCTGTCTCTAATTTCTTTCATCTCCAATGTACTCTGTACACTACTACCACCAAATCTGGGGTACCTTCTGTATCCCATCAAATCTTCCTATGGAACTGCTTTCATCAGTTTTTTTTTTTTTTGCTTAAAACCTCCTTATTACCTACCAAATAAATTCCAAACTACCTAGCCTGGCATTAAAAGGTCCTTCACCATCTGACCCTAAATTAAATCTGTAGGGGCAAAAGGAGCATCTCAGAATTCTGAGTTTTATGTTTCAGACTTGCAAAGAACTAAATTCTAGCTTCAAAAATCTTTAATTTTTATACTTATCCAATTTCTTCCTTACTACAGACTAGATTCTTCACAGCTGCTGGCAACTAAACATTATTATTGAGAGATAAGGTTGCTGTTATTACAGTATTTAATTATTTTCCTTCAGTTCAATGCTACAGTAGATAGACTTTGTAGTCCACAATTGTAGCCATTCTCTCTACAGGTCAGGGTTGAGAGATTCTGCAAGAAGCACAATGTTTTTATCATCATTATTATTATTTGTGGTGTAAGATGGATGCATTGGGTTTCCCAGTAGCCAGGTTAGAAATGCTTTGTACCAAGTTCCTGGAGTTCTTTTGCACAACCTTGGACCATCCAGAGACAAGCCATATTCAGCAGCTTGACAAGTGCCAAGTAAGTTGTTTTCATCTCCACAATCAAACTATCTATTTTCTGCCATTCCAGGGGTTAGGAATTACTCCAAGCCAAGAGGGATGCCTCATGGATGGGGAAATATGGCAATTTCATTAGTAGGCATACAGCACTGCTAGCCTGGCCTTTTCACACAGTGGATCTAATTTGCCATCACCTCCTAGGGGAAAAAAATTCAATTGGTTAGTTTTCTCCACAGTCCAGTATTATTTTATTAAACTGTTCAAATTCTCTTAAAAAAGGATTTCTAAAAACAATTAGAAGGATGAATGTAATACTTACTAATCTTTAGCAAGACCAATAGCGAGACTGCCAAAGTTTTGAATTCAGCTCATGACACTGAGAAATGAGTAAGTTTGGCCACATGTAGTCTTGGGACAGAATTTCTTTAGATGTAATCTCTGATGTTAGAGTACGCCCTTCAGTTGAGTTTATAATAGAATATTCCTTGGAATATTGCCCTTAATTATCCTAGCAAACCTTGTCATGCTTTTCAAATGGACCTATACCTTTGGAGGCCAGAGACAGTTTAACAAATGTTTATTGAGTTCCTACTATGTGCAAGGCACTGAGCAATATGCTGGAGTGGGTGCCATGAGTACTAAGGGGCATCATGAGAGGCAGCTTGGCCTCAGGGATAAATAAAACCTACCTCCCAGGGTTGTTGTGAGGATCAAATGAGCTAATATTTATAAAGTGCCTAGTACAATGCCATGCTATATCAATGCTAGTTATGATGATAATTAAGGTGACTTTAACCGGTGGATATCTGAGAGGATAGGGATGGGAATACAATACTAATCATCTGAAGTCTTCACACAGAAACTGGGATTGTTTTTTTTTTTTTTTAGAAAGCATTAAAAAAAAACTCTTAAATTTCTATTATTCTGGAAGAAATCACTGCAACCCATAGTATGCTGTAGTAGAAAGAGCCTCAGTTTAGGAGTTAGGAGATCATAGTATTCTAGTTCCAGCTCTGCCACTACTAAAACTCATTGGGTGACTTTGGGCAATTGACTTCCCCTCTCAGAGTGTAAAACAATGAAGATGGAACTCTAAGATACCTCCCAGCTCCTATCACCTTGTTCTGAGTGCTTGTAATGCATTATGGCTTTGAAGTGCTGGCAATGTGACAAAAGCACTTCAATTTAGCATTGATTTTAAAATACACTGAGGGACCCTTCACTTATGCTGAAGTAGGAAAAGCTGCCCTTATTTCCATGTTAATAAATACAGAGGCGATCTTCTTCAAGAGGGAAAATGGCTCTCCGGGTCTTGACTGGGGACTTACCGAAGTCCAAGTCGCTAATTTTGCACTGGAAAACAACTTCACCGTTCACCATGAGCTCTAGGGCATTCCAATCATCTATCTGCTGTAGAATGACGGGGTATCCGGCTCTTTGTAATATAGCTGAAAAAGAGGAAATGCACCAAGTGAAACGAAATCGTTTCAAGTTATTATGAATGACAAATTGGTGAGTAGAAAGAGCTGTGGTTGGAAGGGCCCGGAAACCACAGCTTTTAGGTCTTCCTCACCGCTGTCCACGCGACCTTAAGTGAATCACTACCCTTGTGGGGATTCAAAGTTGCTTATCTCTAAAATAAGACAGTTGGTGTCAATGATCTTGATGGCTCCTTCCAGCTGTGGCATTCTATGAAAATGAGCTAATATATTTGTGCTGAAAACACACCAAAAAACAAATAAAACCAAACTGTAACAAAACAACAAAAATTATTTCAGGTTAACATTCAATTCAATTCAGCCTATTCAAGGCTGCTGAATTCACTAAGCTAGGCTCATATCTAACATGATAATGAACATTCCTTAACTAATGGTGATTACTTGGATTATTTTTTTGGTTATGTCCATTGGGCAAATCTTGACTCCCCAAACTGACAGTAGGCTCTATCATCCACCCTCCCTTTCACCCCCAACACACATATAGAACACCTAGCTTCTGGTGCCAAAATCAATAAAGACTTAGTTTGAATCCTGATAGAGTCCTAAGAAGCACCGAACAAAAACCTTGACTGAAAAGGCTATGAACCCAGCTTTAGAGTGAGATTAGCTTTCTCTCCAAGTTAATACCAAGCAGCTTCATAATAACTGTTGAAAAATGACCTTTTATGAACTCTTTGACAGCTAAGAGCCTATTGAGGCTTTCTTGTGCCTAGGCTTACACGCCAGCCCTTTCACTCTCACCTTCAAACTTTGTAGTTGAGATGCTTTTTATAATCAATTTACATTTTATTCACCTGGGAAAAACTTTCAGGATACAATACTATATATTTTCTTGTAATTATCCCGCTTTTCCTGATATTTTCATTCTGAAACAGGAATGGGTATGTTGGGGAAGATGATGCCACCAGTACCATCATCAGCAACTTTCATTTGTATTTGAAATCTTCAGCCCCATTAACCAAAGAACAGTGAGTCACTCAGAGTTACACAACAGTCAGTGGTAAAGTTAACTAGAATCTCATTCTTTTGATATTTCTCTAGTAGAGGACATTAAAGCAAAAGACTACTTTGAAGGATACTACAAAAATGTTGGCTGAAGTGTTTTAAATGTGTTTGTATTTAAATTTTCAAGTCTCAGTTTTGGAAATTTGGAAATTCCTTATGCTAAGGAAAAAGGACCTGGCAGCATCTGTAGCCAATGCACACTGCTTGAATTTCCTCACAAGGCAGGGGTTCCCATTGAGGCTACTGACAAGTAGAAAGTAGTAAGGAATGAGGCGACATGTACCTAGGCAGAAATAAGGGCGTAAGTGTTGACTTGCTCTCCCTTCTTCCTTTTCTAATTGATGGTAAATTGGTGTCAGTGTCTTTAATTTATTCTTAAGTCCTTCTTGGCTGAGATAAGACTTCTGAGGCAGTGAAACTCTCAAAAGTTTGGTGTTGGTGTTTTGTTTTTTTTTTAAGGCAAAGGGATAGATTACTTAAGAAAAACTGAGAATGTTAAAGCTGGAAGAAACTTTAGAGATGGTCTAGTCTAAACCTATTATTTTTATTTTTTATTAATTTATTTTGATTTATCAACCATTGCTTCCATAAGCTTTTGAGTTTTAAATTTTTCTCCTCTTCCTTCCCCACTTCCTTCCCTAAGACAGCACACAATCTGATATAGGCTATAGATATACATTCCTATTAAACGTATTTTCACATTAGTCATGTTGTAAGGAAGAATTAGAACCCATAGAGAAAGAGGAAACAAAACAAAACAAGAAAAAAAAAAGCAAATAGTGTGCTCCGATCTGCATTCAAACTATAGTTCTTTTTTTGGATATGGATAGCATTTTACATCATGAGACTTCTGAAGATGTCTTAGATCCTTGTATTGCGGAGAAGGGTTAAGTCTATCAAAGTTAGTCATCGTACAACGTGGATGTTACTGTGCACAATGTTCTCCTGGTTCTGCTCACTTCATTCAGCATCAGAATAAACCTATTATGTTTATAGACGAAGAGACAGGTCTAGGGAAGGAAAGTGACATTTGTTTTTATTTTCTTATCAAAATGTGTGTGTGTGTTGTGTATGTGATTATATATTCCAGTATAGTTATCAAATTAACGGTGTATTTTTTTTTCAAATAAAAATGTTGTTCAGTCATGTCAGATGTTGCCACTTTCTTTTCTAACTCTTTTTACAGACTGAGAACTGAGGCAGATAGGGTTGACTCGCCCAGGGTCACACAGCTAGTAAATGTCTTAGGCTAGATTTGAACTCAAGAATCTGAGTCTTCCTGATTCCAGGTCCAGAACTCTATCCTTACCACCTAGCTGCCCTTAAAAAAATGACTTAATCTTAAATTTAGAAGTGCCAAATACTGAATGGCCTTTCAAGTCAATAGTGATGGTAACAACTGACTGAAAGGCCTTCTTAGGGATGGCTATGTAACTTTAGAAACACTCTTACTGACTCTGGTACCTTTTTTTTAAAAAAAAAAACAAAACAAAATTAGCATCTCTGGGTAGGAGCATACATATTTCACTTTATCTAGATACTTGATTATATGTTCCTTGAGGGCAGAAGACTATATCTTATTTCAACTTTGTATCCATCCTAGTTCTTTTTTTTCTGTCTGTCTCACATAGTTTATTTAACAACAGGTAATAAGAAATCAATTTTAACAGACTATACAGTGATCGAAAGTTCACATTTATAAGTAATCAACTTTAATTGCATGATTTACAACATTTCAGGGTTTTTTTGTTTCCTATTTTCAAGTTTTACAGAAAGTATAAGAGGGAGAGAAGGAGAAGGGAAAGAAAACAAGTGTCAAGAAGAAATCCCAGGGACAGCTTTGCATGTTAAAATCATTCCTTTGGAATTCTTACCCTCCCCTTTTTTTTTTTGCTTTTTCCTTTGTTAGATGTAAAAAATAATGAAAAAATTCTTTCAAGAAACAAAACCACAATATATATCCTATATCTATGTGGCAGCTGCCCCTGGATAGTCTGATGACATCCTTGCTGTTCTCTCTACATGTATAGATTATTTTAATATTTGAAATATTTGAATATTTGCCTCTTGTATAGAAAATGCCTGGAGAATAAAAGTGGACTTGAAGGGGCACTGGACTATTTCATCTTTTTTCTTCTTAAACATTTTTAAAAGAATGAACATTTTTGTACCCAAAGAGGAAAAACTGGTGTGTATATATATATATAATCCTAGTTCTTAGACGAGTGTTCTGTACCTTGTAGATGCTTAATTGCAATGGGTATAGGGACTGGCCTGCTATTTCCTTTGTATAGTGAACTTCCAGGTGAGAAAACTCTCTCTTCTAATATAGATAGAAAGGTTGGCACCTTCTCAGCAACATAAAGTCTCGCGACGTTGCGTAGAGCACCAAGAGGTTGTGACTTGGCTAGGGTCACATATTGCTAGTATATGTCAGAGTCAAGACTTGAACCCAGGTCTTCCTGGAATCAAAGTCAGCTCTCTATCCAGTCAGTCAATAAATATTTATTAAGTACATACCATGTGCCAGGCACTGTTTTAACCATCAGGGATACAAAGTAAGGCATAAGACAGTCCCTGCTCAGCAGATTTCAGAAAAACCTGGAAAGACTTACATGAACTGCTACAAAGTGAAGGGAGCAGAACCAGAACATTGTACACAGTAACAGCAACATTGTGCAGCGATCAGTTATGATTGACTTAGCTCTTCTTAGCAATACAATGATCTAGGACAATTCCAAAAGACTCATGATGGAAAATGCTGTCCACCTCCAGAGAAATAACTGATGGCATCTGAATGCATATTGAAGTATACTATTTTCAATTTTTTTGTGTTTTTTTCCTTTTACAAACTGTAATTTTTTTTTGCAAACTGTTTCTTCTTTTACAACATGACTAATATGGAAATGTGTTTTATATGATTGCACATATATAACCTATATCAGATTGTTTACCATCTTACAGAGTGGGGAGAGGAGGGAGGGAGAAAATTTAGAACTCAAAATTTTATAAAAGGTGAGTGTTAAAAAATAAAAAGATAGTCCCTGCTCGTAAGGGGCTCACAGTCTAATTGGGGAGACAACATGCAAACAACTATGTGTAAACAAGTTACATACAAATAAACTGGAAACAATTAGCAGAGGAAAGGCATTAGAAGTAAGAGAGGTGGGGAAAAGCTTCCTGGAGAAGCTGGGGCTCGAAGGAACCCAGGGAAGCCAGAAGGCAGAGATGAGGAGGGAGAGTATTCCCTTTAACCTATGCCAGAACTGTGAAGAAATCCCCTCTACAATATCCTTGACAAGAGGTCATGCGTACTTCCAGTGACAGGGGACTCACTACTTGAAATTAAATAAATTTAAATATGAGTCAGGAAAATTACATTCATTTAGCCCTAATTCTATCACCAACTAAGAAAATCACATGTTCACAGCTTTGGAACTGGAAGGAACCTGCACGGCCATCTATTCCAGCTCTCATTTAACAGATTGAGGAAACTGAGTCCGAGAGAGATTATGTTACTTGCACAAGGTCACACAGGTAATAAGGAGCAGTGACAATTAGAACTCAGCTCCTCTGATTTCAAATCCAGCACTCTCTACTGTACTACACTGAATGATCGTACCAGGGTGATTCAAGGGGTTCTATTTCTCTAATTCAGATTTTTTCATCTATAAAATGGAATGACTGTCCCCAAATGACATTCACTGAGTACTTGCTGGGTGCATGACACTCTATTGGGTTCTGTGACTCATAAATTAATACTTTTTACTCAGCTAAATGATGATGATTCACTAAGGCTTAAGAAGGTACTCTTAAGTGATTAAACTGGAAAGAGAAGTCAAAGAGAGGCAGCTGTTTTTGTCTATTTTTTTAAATCCCCATATTTCATTTGATCTTGCTTTCAGAAAAGTAGACAAATGTGCCAATTAATTGTATTTAATTAC